AAAGACATGCGCAGTTGACGACTCCCCAGCTTTAAAGTTTACAGTTACCATTAATTGGTTCATTATGAACAGTCATAGAACTATGGCACAATCAAACTAGTATTATTTTTTGTGATACAGTTACGTTTTTTGAATAACTTGTTCGAATATTTTTTTTCAAAAATCGCTATTTTTAGAACAATTCCATAGAACACAAAGTAACATTGCATTTTTGACACTTTTTAAAACCCAGATATTCAAAATAATTCGGGAAAACAAAAAATACCGCGTCATTAACAATATGTGATTTTTTTACGCCCATATCACTATCCTGCAATATGAAATATGGCTTAATATCGCAGCCATAAGAATCTATCGTAGAAGCGTGACAATATCCACTAAAATAAAACCAGCATTTTCTGGAAAATAAAGATGGTGACCCTAACTTTTCTAAGGCAATATCCCTATATTGCCTTAATATACAATTCATTGTAAAAAAAATAAATTCTGTGGTGTATCATTCACGAGCAGGTATTTACATTTAAGCGGGGGAGTCGTCACCTGCGCATGCGTCAGATGGGAATGACGTGTCAGTGTTTACAAACAAGCGTCTACCAATGAGTCTTTAGCGTTTTTAGCGTGTGCTGTTATCGTCGTTTGGGACTCAATTCTCGCGCGTGCGTAGTATGTCCACACTCATCATTAACAACAGTCCAGTAACGAAGTACTTGTATAATAAACGAAGGGATAGAGCAATTCAAATGGTATTTCCCATTACGCATTGGTGCAATCCCAGTGATTGTACAACCCTGCTTTAAAACTTGAACGGAAAATATTTACTATAATCATATGAACAATTTCGCAGGTTACTTTTAGTAAGTCTATTACCTTGTATCCACGACTTCTTTACCGAGGAATCCTTCGATAGATCAACTTTAATTGCAATAGCCCTCTTTTTTTTACAAATTCTATTTTAATTTCAATTTTGGAAAACTTTCAAAAATTTGAAATACGAAAGTTTATCATAAGCTAATAAATAAGAGGCAATGAAACTACATACATTGTAAGTCATTTTCGTCATCTAATAAAAACGTTCTCCGGGAAATTCTCTTGTTTTCATAGATCTGAGTTGATTAAATATAGAAACTATTGAACCTTTGATTAAGTATGTAAAATAAAAGGACACAAGTAAATATTTCTACCAATTTTTCTCAACTGTTCTCGCTGTTTTGAATAAAACATTTCCTACTGAAACAGAATAAGGAGGTGTGAATGGTGTCCCATGCAGTTTCTCGCGAATCCGGAAAGGGAGTTTCCATTTATGTTGCATCCTACATTGTGAGTAACAATCGGGCTATAACAACGTAAATTTCATCAATCTCAATACCCTTAAAATGTCGCGTACGCTACTGTCCCAGTGGTTGAGCATATTAGTTCTGAAATGCAATTTATTTACAGAGGAAAGCTAAATACGTCATTGTGTTATAATCACGAATACATCAACTTATAATTTATTGCTTCAATTTATATATGATATTGCGAAATATTTTTTTTTTATTAACGGAAATGTCACTGTCCGAAGGTTAAGTGAAACGATCGTTACTATACACTTAAATGGTCGGCTGATGAAATACACACATGTAGTTATACGCTCTACAAATGTGACTAATGTCTCGAGTCAATGTACCGTACATGCGAAATGCGTATGGAAAATATAAGTGCGTACTGTTTCTGGTGAAACTTGTTTATATATGGAGTATTTGTAAGACAGAAGTAATCGCACAATCTAGTAAGATAAAATAGCACATCGTGACAGAACTTGACACTCATCGACTGTTAAGATTAAAAAATGGTTCCACACATACCACATTTTTTTTAAAGAAAATGTTTAAAACAATTGTATAGGTATAGTACTAACTGCACATTTGTAGTTCTATAACTTAACATAGAATATCCTTTCTCGGATTTCCAATCTTCAATTTCACCGCTTTAATGTGACTGTAAAATTATCAATAACGGTGTAACATACTAGTAGATTGAATAGTATTGAAAGTCACATCGAAACTACAGTAAAATATCTGCAAACCGGAATAGCCATGCTTAAACTGTAGAATTTATTCATTACAAATAATGTAATACATTATTTGCTATTTCTAGTAGTAGCTAATATAAAATTATTTAAAAAAAGGAGAATATTTTCAAAATGAGATTGTTGGCGTTTTAGCCAATTCACTAAAATAGCGTGTAGCTAATTGCAAAGTGTTTTGCAGTAACTAGCTGTATGCAGTAAAAATTAGAAGTTTCAGAAAGCATGATTTAGCTCAACAACAAAAAAACGCTAATTTGGGGGTACACTTCATAGTTATAAGGGGGTGGGTCATTTACTTTTTTCTTTATTAGAGGGGCGGGTCACTTCATTTTTGTGACCGGGAAATGATTTTCACCGCACCCACCGCTGACTAAAATAATTGACCGTTCCCTAGTCGAATGATTTAGCGAAAACGGTGTTTACAGAATCCCACGGGCTGGTGATTTTAATGTAATATTAAACTGCTTTTCAGATGTTGCGTACTGACTCGGTGGTTATCAGTTATTATTGGACTTTAACCTGTAGACTGTGGACACTGAGCTGTCACGTGATGAATCTACTTATCTCACTATCGCCAGGATCATGTAAGGTCAACTATTCATAATACGTATCGGCCTTGTGTTGTATTACCATAAGCACGTGTCTGTATAAGTTGTTCTGCATAGGAGAACGTAACTTACAACGTAACCCCATATATTGGGATTCGACAGCTATGAAGATTTGTTAATTTTCTTACAATGCAAGCTCTGACATGTTTCTGTAGTGGGTTGTCTGTTCATTTCCGGTATATATGCACCATATTTTCCCCCATAAATTTATGATTATAAAAAGATCCGAAAAAAGACAGATATTTAAGTTGAAATTAATGATGCGTGTTCTTTTCTATTGTTGAGAAAATATTGGACGTCGTGTTAGGAATAAACGGTGTGCATAATATGAGGTGATACGACCCTACATAAATATGTACATAGTATCTGTTGTAGATAATAAGCATACATACACATACACAGAACTAAAATAGTACCCATGAAATAGTACCCATCATCGCTGATCAACCACACCAATATTCGTGGCTGATCTAGCGTCTGGTATTACGCAATAGTAAGCGACATACCTCGGAATAAACTGATCAGCTTGTTCGGTGTGGTGGAAGATCGCTGGTGTATAGTACGACAACCACCCGTTTGATCAGCCAGTAAACACAAAAAAAATCCCGAATCGCCGATGTCTTGATAATCTTCAATCGCCACTTACATGACACGAGGTGTCATTCAATAGTCCACACGGTATGCGTAAAGTTGCATGCCCCGTCTGTTGAAAGGTCGGTCAATTGTATTGTGAATAATGGTAAATGGGGAGATTACGACAGCGCCAACAACGACAGTTTATGGTACATGGCATGTCTATCAAGATAAGTTGAGCAAATAAACGTACTAGTATACGCAAGCATGACCCGAGCTTTGCTACCATGGCTCTGGACCTGCTCGTCTTCGTCAAAATGAATATTATTAAAAGAATCGATAGTTAATGATTTTGTGTGTTACAGCAAAAATAAAAAAAATCACGAGTTTACTATAATATGTAACATTCGGAGTATACAGTGCTTAGGCAAATAGCATGAATTAGATTTGACGGACAGAGTCAAAATATTAAACACTACAATATGTCGCAGTAACAGTTAACCAAAATGGCCAATTTCAGATCTTAGAT